GACTGAATGAGTACGTGTATGAATGAAGAGAGGGAGTAGCGTTAGCAAAACAAAGCAGTGAATCAGAGAAATAAAATTTTGATTCTTTAACGATGATTATATTCTAAAGCACAAATAAACAAGGATTTTATGTGGATGCGTTCAAAGCATAGGCTTCAGCCTCCTGTCTATATGGAGTGTCTTTATTTACTGCTCTTTCTACATGTGTCATAGGCTTGAGTTCTGCATATCAAAGATCTCCCCACTAAAGCCACAGTATAGTTAGTTTGTTCATATTGTGTCTTTCAGGTGGAGGACACAGAGGCTCGCCGTCTCTTCCAGCAGATTATCTCAGCCGTAGACTATTGCCACAGGCACATGGTGGTCCACAGAGATCTTAAACCTGAGAATGTCCTGCTGGATGCAAACAAAAATGCCAAGATTGCCGACTTTGGTAGGATCCCCTAAGAACACCACTATAGCAAGAGGGAGGGGGAGAAGGATTGGCTTGACAGAAACTGAGAATTGTTGGGGAATTTTAATAAGAGTGAGAAAGCATAATAGAATATGCTCATGTCTTCATGGAGGACTAAGAAACAGAAGAAGACAGTTTGTCTCAGAGCTGATTAGACCTAAGTTAACAAGTAACTGGACGTTCTGATTAGAGCCAAATGGAGGCTGCAGAGAGGTGTGAAATCACCATCATGCACCTGCTAACCTTATTAATTGAATTTCTTATCAGTTGTAGCGTCTGATCAAATATACCATGAAAAAGAGAAGTACAGTATTTCCAAAAACCCATGAAAAACCCTTGTGTGCAGCAGGGTGTGTAGGGCAGAGAGAGGTCCCCTAGCATCGGCCAGGTCTCATGTCAAGTCTGGCAGGAAGCCTTGAGGCCCAGTGTCATCTGATAGGGAAGGAATTGTGGGGGAGTGTTAGGGTTGTGCAGCAGGAGAAGTATTTTGGCTGAGAGCAACAGACACCCATGAGCAAAGAGAGGGAGTGTTAAGGGAATGAATAAAAGATGAAGGGAAGTTCAGCACATGGGGTGTCTGGTGTTTAGCATTTGGCTGATGTCCTGGCAGGCAGGGAGAAGCTCATCCAATTAGACAAGCTTTGTATTCAGAGCTTGGAGTCTTGGTGGGTAAAGGAGGATAAAGTTATCAGCGGTGTCCACAGTGTGCAACTCTTAACCTCCCTGTGATGGACCATGTTCAGTTTACCCTGGTGTTTCAAAGGATCAGTGGCAATAATATGATAATATTGGATTGTTCCATTAGTCTGTGTTGCTGTGAGAGTAACAACGCAAGGGTGTTGAAGTGTACTTGCCTTGTGATTGGCCCACAGGTCTGTCAAACATGATGTCAGATGGGGAGTTCCTACGAACAAGCTGTGGCTCACCCAATTATGCTGCGCCAGAGGTCATCTCAGGAAGGTGTGTATGTGATTTAGGCTGCAAAGGCCACTTTCATTATTGATTAATCTGACCATCTTTCTTTAATCAATTAATTGTTCGTCTATAAAATAATGAATAAAGGTCTTTTAATGTTTTGGTTAGACAGAGATCTGACACCTAAAGACATTCTGTTTACAATGAGTTGTGGACAGGGAAAAACAGGAAATGGAGCTAAAGAATGTTTCTGTTAAGTGGTTAATTGTTTGGTTATTAATTTCACTTAATCATCATTTATTATATGGATTTGGGAACAAAACAGTTAGCTCATTGACTGAAACCCCAGCTGACAGAAACCTTTAAAGGTGCCCAGTGGAATTTTCATGTAAACAAGCAAAGTGCGTTTATAGTCACTGTTACTCACCGAAATGCACTGTGTACCCTTGAGATATATAAATATATTTGCAAAGATAAGTTTCAAAGTATTAAAATATGCATTGTTTACATGCCTAATAGCTTGGAGTTGTCTTCTTCCCTGCCTTGCAAATACACATACATACAGTAGTTAGACCATTTGTAACAGACCTGTTTAGCGTTACTAAACGGTTTGTAAGCAGTTAATGAAAACTATGGAAGGTCTTTTATATGAATAAAAGTCATTGTGTTGTGAAGCACTCATTAATTATATAAACACCAGTTATGGATTCCTCATTGGAGGAGCAGTACTTAATAAACAATATAGAGCCATAAAAATGGGTATTTTTGTTTGCAACCTATCACATCCGTCCTCATTGCTCTGTCAGGCTCTATGCAGGTCCAGAGGTAGACATCTGGAGCTGCGGTGTGATCCTGTATGCCCTGCTGTGCGGCAGTCTGCCCTTTGATGATGAGCATGTCCCCACGCTGTTTAAGAAGATCAGAGGAGGAGTCTTCTACATCCCAGAGTACCTGACCCGCTCTGTGGCCTCACTGCTGATGCTCATGATGCAGGTGGACCCTCTGAAGAGAGCCACCATCAAAGACATCAGGTATTGACCCAGCTCTGTTGGCTGCAGTGGCCCAGACAGAGTCCTCCTTATCTGCCCTGTTTTTTTTTATTGCCTTTTTTAAACTTTGTGTTACATTGGTATTAATGGATGTTCTGTGCTGCAGTCAAAGTTTTCAAAGTTTTATTCACTACCATTAATACACCATTGCCTACAGCTCATCAACAGTGACAGATGAATGGTGTTCTTTTCTTTTTGTATCTTAATTCAACATTTATCTTTAAAGAGAGAGAAAAAATGCAATACAAAAGAGAGAATGTGTTAAATTTATGAGAGGTAATCTGAAGTTTAAGTATACTCAGAAGTGATTCTCTCTTTCTAGCCCTGTAGCTTTAAAGCTCCCCCATCTGGAGTGTACACAGACTGCTGTGTTTGACAGCAGTTTGACGTCACAGCAGGTTCGATGTCACATCATAGTGTGACATTTTAAAATTAAAATCAGCGTTGGCTTTGGTATCATAGTTAAATCTGATAACTTGACTGTAGTTGTGTTTTGTGTTGACTGACGGTCCTGTCCTCTGCCAGAGAACATGAGTGGTTTAAGCAGGACCTGCCAGACTACCTGTTCCCTGAAGACCCTTCATATGATTCCACAGTCCTGGATGAGGAGGCCGTCAGAGAAGTGTGTGAAAAGTTTGAATGCACCGAGTCCGAGGTTGTGTCCAGCCTCTACAGTGGAGATCCACAGGTACACATTCAGAGCCTCATTAAGGGTTTTTCCACAATAGGAACCTAACAAAACATGATGTACCATGTAAGGCTCATACCACGTTCTGCCTCTGTTTCAACTGCCCTCCGCCTGATTTGCAGGTGCATTCCAGGAGCTAAAATTTGGCACCCATCAGAAGGTAGTACTAAAGTCCAGTTCCAGGTACTTGCAGAGGGAGGTGGTGGGTGTTGGCGGAGTTGTCACCCGTGATTGGTTAAATGTCAGTGTATTCAACTCTGTTAGCATTACAAGCAAATGAGACACTCGTGTCCTCTCCTCAGCTGTGTGTGTGTGTGTGTGTGTGTGTGAGAGAGAGTGTGTGAGAGTGTGTGTGAGAGAGAGAGAGAGAGAGAGAGAGAGAGAAGTGCAGCCCCACCCTCATCTAAACAGTGATTGACATGGGGAAAAATATGGTGGAAAAGCAAAACAGAATGGACTCCATCAGATGGTGAGGTCATCCCTGGTAATGGTTATGGGAAGCACAGGGTGTACCGCTTGTTATGTTCCGACATTGGAATGTGGCTTCAGTTACTGCTGGCCTTGTACACTGTTGTGGATACGGCTGGTCATGTTACCACAACTGCCCTGCAAACAAACCACTGTTGATACTGCAAAAAATGTAACTGTATGACACACTGTGCGAATGTGTTATACCCTGTGATTGAGCTTAATTTGTTTTTTGTTAATTTGTTGTTCGTTAGGCTGTGATTAGCATTGTTAACTTAAGGTCTGTCTTAGCTTCAATAAGTTATCTCCTTAGTGTTCAGTTGACTCCCCTTCCTATCCATCCAGGATCAGCTAGCTGTAGCCTATCACCTTATTATTGACAACCGGCGCATCATGACCCAGGCCAGCGAGTTCTACTTGGCCTCCAGTCCTCCGCAGGGCTCCTTCATAGAGGAAGGCATGCCACTGCCCCCTGGAGTCAAAGCACACCCAGAGAGGATGCCTCCACTCCTGGCTGACAGCCCCAAGTCTCGTTGTCCTCTGGATGCTCTCAACACCACCCGGCCTAAACCTCTGGCAGTGAAGAAATCTAAGTGGCACCTCGGTATCAGGAGTCAGAGCAGACCCTATGATATCATGGCTGAGGTGTACAGGGCTATGAGACAACTCAACTTTGATTGGAAGGTAGTTGGATATGTCTTATACTTGCATGTGTACACACATCCATTTACATACAGTATAAACGTGACTGTTATTTCATGTTGTAGGTGGTGAACCCATACCATCTGCGAGTGCGGAGAAAAAATCCAGTGACGGGCAATCTGGTGAAAATGAGCCTGCAGCTCTACCAGGTGGACAGCAGATCCTACCTCCTCGATTTCAAGAGCATTGATGGTTAGTGAGAGACAAAATGATCATCATAGACAAATATCATCTGGGTTTTAAATCCCAGTGTATAATCGATAGAGCGCTGCACTTAGCTGAAATGCAAATTTCAAAAACTAAATTTTATTGTAAGTCATGTCGGGCTTTGCCTTTTTGCAGGTGCAAAGTTGGTAATAACACAAACAGTAATAAATCCAATTTTTATGCTTGGCTGTGTATGCGTTGTGGATTAGCTCGTGGACGTTAGTGGAGGTGTCTGTCAGCCTGAAATATTTTAGCCATTTTTAAATAGATTGGTGTAGAAATATTTATGATCCTCAGAGGATACATTTGATTAACTCTTTATTAGCATGACCATGTAAATGACATTTGTGGTTTTTAATCAAATATCTCAAATGATTTGATGGGATACCATAAAATCTGGTACAGAATCCATGTTTCCAACAAAGATTTACAATGACTTTGGTCTAATTTTTTATCAGGAAAGCATCATTATTTTTTGATCATCGAATATCTGCAAAACTAACAATATTCCATCAGCCTCAGCTGTACTGTGTGTGTAGTGGAAATTAGAGAAGGTTGGCATGACACTTATTTAAAATGGTTAACGTGGCAAAATACACTGCCCGGCCACAATTTTAGGTACACCTATACAATTGTATGCACTTCAGTGCAACATTCCTGCCTTAATATCTGTGTTTATGAATTGCATTTATACATTTATGACAATTTCATCAAAAACTGAAACACTCTGAGCTTCATAAACAGATTTTAAGGTGGAAGTGTTGCATTGAAGTGCATACAGTTGTGAAGTACGTACAGGTGTGACTATTAAAGTGGCTGGTGAGTGGATATACCTGCCAAACATCAGCATGTTGTCATTTAGCTCTGCCCAAGTACAATCCCTCAGTCATGAGCAAGGATGTAGTAGACTCGAAATATGAAAGTGAAATTTAAAATCTTTCAATTTCTATAAACATTACATTAATTTTGATGCTGTTTGTGCTAAAATTAAAACTGACTGTATAAAAATGTTTTCAATATCTGCACATTTACAGTATAAATAGTAAACAATGTGAAGTTAGAAAAAAATCAGAACTTGTCTTTCTTGCATGTATGAAGACATTAACTTGATAAAACATTTAACTAACTAAAACTACCAGTACTACTTTGTTGAATGCTGATGCTGTTGTTCCTCTTTTACCTCCAGATGATATCATTGAGGCAGTGGGCTTTAAATCTGGTTCGTCCACTCCTCAGAGGTCGGGCTCCGCAGCCGGTCTGTACAGACCCAGACTCAGCATCGACTCGGCGAGCCCTGGCATCGATCTGCCCCAGCTTAGCTCTTCTCTCCCAGGATTCCTGTCAGGTAGTTCCCCTCTAGCCTCTCTTAGCCCCCGTCAGGGATCACACATCATGGACTTCTTTGAAATGTGTGCCAGTCTGATCACCACACTTGCACGCTGAGGCCTGTCAATAATGTACCCTCTCTGTAAAATGGATGTCAGTGGGGTTTTTAAGCCAATTGCAGATCTGGGATGTAAGATGTATGGACTGACTTCCTCTTTCTGTCTCCTCTCATCTCTGCTCGTTTTGTATAAGACTGGAAGGGTGAATGTAAATGTGTGGTGTTCACCTCAGATGAAGGAGGGAGAAAGAGGAACAAGAGCTTTTTTTTTTTTTTCCTTATTTTGACACAGTCCTTGGGCCAGTCTTGGTATTTTAAATATTGGGCTACAGCTTCTGAAAACTGGTCTTGAGACTGGACTTTGTGAATTACTGGAGCCCTTCAAAGTAAGAGGCAAGAGGTCACAGTTTACAGTCATGTCGGAGTCAGCGAAGGTCAAGTTCACTGTCACTCCTCCCACTTTCAGTCTGTTAACAGCTACTGAAATGTCATGACCCACTGTAAGACGTGATGTCAGGACATCCTGCTGAGTTGGTCTCAGGCACTGATTGGGGCTCAGTTTTGTTTCTTGCTTTTTAATTTGAATAGGACACTGGTGGTTAAAATTGACACGAAGTCTGTGTCTGAGGGAAAGTCACCACATGTGAAATGTTATTTTAGGTTTTGTAAAGAAACAGCTTTTGTTATCCATGTATATTATATTTATATTACATAGCTGAAAAGGATGACAAAGGTAGACAAATGTTAGACTTTATACATCATAAAGAAGATTATTATTACTTAAATATAAAATCCATATTTATTTTTGAGAGAGTTTTTAGACACTGTAGTTATATTATTTAAGCACTGCATCAGCATAGTTTTAACCTTGTTTTGAATAGATTGTAGATGTTTAATGAACCTAGAGAGAGCGCTGGATAGAATGATAATGGTATTGACTGTGCTACGTTTAGTGCTGAAGCACAGACGCACACTATCTCACATGAATTTTCACAACCACCTTTTTACCTGAGTTTTTTTGAATAGCAACAGTTTATCTCAATGTATTTCAGAGGCACTGTTCTTTTTCCCTACTTAGCCATCATTTTATACATCCAGTAGCTGTCTTAAATATGCAACACACACACACACGTAGTCCCCTTTACATGTGAATTGAGTACTTAAATGACAGGTTGAGCAGCTGCTAATATAGTGTTCAGCCATGCATGCACAGGATGTAATTAAAAAAGCCAGTGGGCCTGTGAGATCAGGAGGATGGACATGGCAGTCACTCACATATGCAGTAAAACTGAAAAATGACAGAAGCCGCCATGGCCTGTTTGTAATGAAGAGTGCCACAGTTTTAAGCCTGTAGTTAATAACTTTTCATTAATCATTTTTTATCATTGCCTTAAGCCTTTAAAGTGTGAGAACATGGCAAATGTCAGATCAGTAAATACAGCCTTGTGCCTGTTGTGAGCTCCTGGATTTTCTTTGACCAAAAGAAGAAAAAAATTGTCCTGTGATCATTTAGACTTGCGTTAAAAGCAACCAAATCTTCAACAAATGTAGTTTTACTTGATAAATTGCTAGTAATCCATTGAGCAGTAATGAATAAATACAGTTAACTAGACCTGTGGCCATACTATGTATGGATAGATGATGAGGTGACGAGGAAAAGATGATGACAACTTCATGTGAGATGGTGTGTATCTACCTACTGCAGGACGGTATAAGCCACAGAGACCTTTCTCCGGTTGCCTTAAAGAATGCAACACAGTAATTCTGTGCATACATACATACATGGAGAGTGTTTGGATGAGCCAGTGTGTGTACTAGAGATGTGCTCTTACCGACTTCATGCTGGTTTGTCAGGAGGATCTGTGCAGCGGTGTGACTGCCTGTGAGATCAGCCAAGTCGGAATCAGAGAAGAGAGTGATGAGGGTGGAAACAGTATGCGGTGTATTGTAGCTGTTGGCAGGGCTGTCTGTGCATGTATCTTATGTGAGGCTGTTGCTGCCTGTTCAGTCTGCACTTTAAAAGCTCATTTGCCGAAGCCTGCAGTTTGCAGATGTGCAGTTTATTGCATCACACACTTTGTGCAGATGCATTGACTTTACTGTACCTGATCTGTCTCGCCCTGTGTCATTTGACAAACACCACATTGTACTTTTATACGTCCTGCATTGTCCAGTCAGATCGTACTATAGCTGGCTTGTATCTGTGTCATTGCTTTCAGAGTTTTTTTCTGACTGAAAGTTGAGCGAAAGTTGGTGCTGCTCAGATGAATCCTCCTCTCTGTCTTCGTGTCTGGGTTTGTTTTCTTGGTTGGTGTTGTGTTGATAGAGGGAATGTTGCATTTGTTTGCAGTAAAACAGAGGATAGACAGGTAGTATGTACTCTACTTTAGACTGGTGTCAACTATGAAACCATATCTAATAAATGCTGTAAACAATTCATTAAGAGACAAACGTCATAATGAATAAATACAGTAAAAACAACCCTGCATACAAATAAAGTAATACATTTTGTAATAATTAACCTCAGCTCACTCTTATGAATTTACAGCATTGTTATTTTAACAGACTGGAGGTATGTGATTGAGGTTAATGAGGTAATTAAACTGGCATCCGATTTCTTTGTTCATACTATGAAATAAGAAAAATGACAACATCTCATATTAATGGGTTGAGTTTTAATTATTCATTAGTCTAAATTATTTCACAGATTTTTGGGCTGTGTAGATATTCTTTCTGTATATTTTCATGATTACCTCATATCATATCTTATTCAAATTGGTGATGTGACTCTTAGCCACACAGTAGTCTAGACTGTGAATATTAATCCAGGAGTGCTGTGTTGGACCTACTGTAATAATGCAAACTGAGGTTCTAGTTTGTTACTCTGCACTGTCTCAAAGGTCTCAGATGTTTGCCTTATGAGAGCACCAGGAAGACCTTTGGTTGAAACAGTGAAGGCCACGTTATTTTTTTCTCTCTGTTGAAACCCTTTATTATATGTCTCCTGTTGGTTTGTCGTGTACGTCGTCTTTCCAGTCTATGCCTGCACATACACCATATGTTGATGTCTGGGAGAAACACTGCTCCCTACTGCAAGACAACTGTGCACACACCTTTGTGAACACTATTCCATGTTCCTCAGTCAGTCTTCTATATTACAATGTATTGCTGTGTATAAATGACTCATCCTCTGTATAGTGAGCTACTTTGGTCACATCAGGATCACATCTGACCATTGTGCATTCATTCCTAATACTGCTGCTCATGACAACACTACAAAATTCTTGATCATAGAAGCGCACCAACTTGGAGAAATCATTAGTCAGATTTCAAAACTCCTGATACCCTCAGTATTTACTGTCAATGTAGTACTGTACTATTACAACAGCATGCAATTACTAGTGGCATGTTAGTCATGTAAACTCTAATCTGTGTTTAGAGCTGCAAACACATGCCAGAGGGCCTAAACAGGAGCAGACTGTGTGTTGTACCAAAGTGAGTATTTTCAACAGCAAAGCTGTGCTCTGTTTGCCCACGTTAAGTGTAACCTTAAACACACCAGTGTATGTCGTGGTGACGTGTGTGGGTGCACATCAGTTACTGTGAAAGAAAGTGAAGAAGGGTGTGTGTGTGTGTGTGTGTGTGTGTGTGTGTAAACATGTCTTTCTGTAGTTGTGTGCTGAAATTTGATTTGTACCACTATGAGGACATTTTGGCCAGTTCTTCCAACTTCAAAGGGCTTTGAGGGTTAAGAAGGTTAGATGTTGGGGTTAGACATTCAACTGGGATGTGTACAGTTTGGGGCTAGGGAATGTATAATGTCCTCGCAGCTACAGAAAGACGTGTGTTTGTGTGTGAGAGAGAAAGTGAGTGCATTTCAGCTGTCTCTCCCTGTCTGTCTGATTGAGGTTTGGATTTCTCTCATTATGCACTGCATGATATTGCTGTTATGATTTGCACTTTGACAAGTATTTATTGGAAAAACAATAAACAAATGATAAAAAGGAAAATGATTTTGTCCTGAAGTGAAGTTGGAGGTCTGACACATACCTACCAGATAAAGCTGTCAACAGTATTTTACATGAACATGACCTCAGGTTAGCATCACTGCTTTATTGTCTCTGTGTAATACTTATTCATCAGCTTGAGGGAAAGCTTTAGAAAACGAGAGGCACATAAAAGGGACACATGCCAGATAGCAGCTCCATAAAAAGCAAAGAAGGCAAAGCTTTAGGATCAGAACACACCAACTGGTGCTGTCAGAATTGTTGTATATGTTTTTAGATTATGCTCCATGTTGTTGTTTATTAGTACATAATTATAGATCATTTTTAATTAAGCTAATGGGCTAATTCAGGATTTAAATACTATGACAAGTAATTACACATGCACTTCTGTAATCACATGAGAGTAAATAAAATTATAGAAAAAGATACTAGTGTACAGAAAAAGCACATTAAGACAAACATCTGGGTGGAAACACTGACCACTATCAGATAAATGTTGAAGGTCTTATAAACATTGTCTACTGGAGTCCTACAGATGTACATGTGGAGAGGGCCATTAATAAAAACTGATAACTCCTAGGGGTTTCTAATTATTGCTGCTGACCTAAAAATCTCTAAAGTTTTCATAAGATTTTTTTATCTGTTATTTACACCTTTGCTGCCAACACTGTAAACTGGTAATAAGAGTGTAGAATGCTAATTTCATCTGAGCTATGAAACTGCTGTATGTAAACTAAGATAAATACTCACATTGATAACTTGTTGGGTTCTTTGAACAGCCCTGGACTGTCGATTTAATATTTGATCCTGAGGAACAACCTGGTGTAAGAAAGACTACTGGCTACTGAGAGCATGTTCAAGTTCTGTGTCTCTGTTTCCTCAACATGGTGTCTTGACCTGAAAAATACTCTGTTCTGAGAAAACCACTATATTTTGCCGTTGTCCTCCCGTTATTCCAACTACTTTAAATAGATTTGGCTTTCTGGTATTTCCATTGACAATTGTAATTTTTCCTACAAGAGTCTCCAGGGTCACAGTACCTAGAAAACTTGCATGCCTGCAACAGTTTGTAGGTCTTTTCCTGGGATCGGCAGTTCATCTGGGTCTACAAGTCGCTCAGGGCCACTGGCCGAGATGTCCCTCACTGGTTTCACGCTGAGTGCTTCAGAAAACAAACGGCACAGAAAGATTTTCCGGTTTCTTGTCGTGAAATCCCCATTTCCTGCTCCTTTTGTAAATCATTATACTGATCCATAAATGCAGTCATCTTGCATGTAAGATAATAGTCAGGAGGATGAAGTAACTGTCACAGTATCAGGTCACTGCTGTGGGTCACAGTGTGAAGAATAACACCACAGACGTCCTGATTCTTCTGCCTTTTTGTTGGACTGTTACAAACATAAAAACAAACATGTCAGTATGTGAAGCACACACTGAAGAGCAGTGGAGAGAGAGAGGCCAGGTGATTCATCCTTACCTTGTTTTCTGATAATTACTCCACTGCAAAGTCAGCATACAGGTCAGGAGGAGGTAAAATGAGCATATCGAGCACATCTTTTTCCGCTGGTGAACTGGCTTGAGGCCTGTGGAAAAAAGGTTGGAAAATAACTCAGCCTTTCCTCTAGTACCTCCCCACTCTCCTGTGTTTCCCATAAACACCTTGTGACCATAAATATGACACCACTGATAAATGTGAGAAAAACATTATGGGGAATCACCACCTCACACCTACCAGGACACAAGTCAGATTAACTTCCTGGTAGGAGAGGAATGGATATCAGTCTGCCTGTCTTTGTCTCAAACACAAAAAGAGGAAAACACTTGTTCTTTTCAGGCCCAGCAGCCCATGGGACAGATTGAGGGCTGCACGTAAATAAGCTCCATTCTGACTAAGGGCGCAACAATTCTCCAAATCCACATTTTGGTTTACACTTTGTTTTTGGTATTGTTTTTTGCCCTAACTTTAAATAGAATAATCATTTTGTGATTTACATGTGTTACAATCTTTAACATATGTAAACATCTTTACTGCTCCTTCTATGATTTTTCACATCTTCTACATTTTCAAGTCTTTGAACAAATTCTACAACTATTAAAATGCCTCCAAGAGGGAAAAGAGCTAATAAACCAGGAGCGAACGAGGATGTTGAGGGGGAAGGGGATTCTATTTCAGCGGCGCCAGTAGCTGAGATGTTGAATCAGCAGAAGCTGATGTACACCGCACAATTGTGCCAACAGCAAGAAAGCTTCCAAGGCTCGACGACATGACCAAAGAAATACAGGAGATAAAAATGAGTTTGCAGTTTACCCAGCGAGATGTGGATGCGATTAAAGCAGCCGTGGGTGAGCAGGAAATACATGTCAAGGAAACTAGGCATGACGTCTACAAAACTTGTGAGAGTCTAATAACTATAACGTATAAAATGGAGCAATTGGAAGCACAGTCCAAGCGAAAAAACATGATCTTCGAGGGAATCAAGGAGACAGCTGGAGAAAGCTGGACGAAAGCAGAACGGAAGGTGAAGGAGATTTTAATGGACAAACTGCAAATTCATGAAGAAATAGAGATGGAACGGGTTTACAGAGTCGGGAAACTTTCTGATTGTGGACCGAGAGCGGTGTTGGTCAAGTTGATGAAGGAGAAAGATAAGACAAACATTCTGCAGCAAGAAAAGAAGCTTAAGGGAACTAATATTTACATCAACGAAGATTACCCCGAGTCTGTGAGGAAGAGAAGAAGAGAGTTGATGCTGATGTTAAGAGCGGCTAGGGTGAGAGGAGAAATCGTGTTTCTGCGATACGACAAATTAGTGACCCGACCTCGGAACCAGAATCCTCGACCCATGACCAGCTCGCCGAGACAAGGAGAGTATGAAGGGGCCGCTGGACCCTCAGCGGTGTGAAACATGCAGGTATATTGATATCTGCGATGGCAGATGAGCTCTGGAACCAATAACAACAAGCATGACCCATGGACGATATGAGGCAAGTGATTTGTTACAGAAGTTAATAGTTTTTGAGGGACTGGATCTGGAACTGAACACGTATGGAGACACTGAAATTCATCATCATGAACCGGACGATGGCTTTGACCCTAAAAAAAACTTTTTTAAGAACTCTGAAAATAACTGCAAGTATTACACGGATGAGCAGTTTAACAGCAATGTCAAGACTGAGAACAAATCATCACTAATTCACTTTAATAGCAGAAGTTTATACGCAAACTTTCAGAGTATAAAACATTATCTTAGTAGTCTGACACATTCTTTTAATATAATTGCTATTAGAGAAGAAGGGAGTTGATGCCGAGGTTAAGGGAGGCCAGGGCGAGGGGAGACATCGCGTTCCTGCGGTATGACCGACTAGTGACCCGTCCTCGGAACCAGAATCCAGGACCCATGACCAGCACGCCGAGGACCAGTATGCCGAGACAAGGAAAGTATGAAGGGGTCGCTGGACCGTCAGCTGTATGAAGAAACACGCAGGTATATTGATATCTGCGAGGGCAGATGAGCGTTGGGACTAACAATTAGCAGAAACCAACAACAAGTATGACCCACGTACGGAATGAGGCAAGTGGATTACTTATAAATGATATTAGTGATCATCTACAAGTATTTGTGGTTTATGAGGGCCAGTATAGAAAAGAGAGGCCAAAAACAAATCTTTTCTATAGGAGGGTGATGAATGAACATGCTGTAAGGAGGCTAAAAGAGGATTTTATGGGGCAAAACTGGGAATCAGTTTACAGAGAGGAAGACTTAGATAAAGAATATGAGCAATTTTTAATATATATTTAAGAAAGTTTATGACAGGAACTGTCCTCGTAAGCAGTATAAAGACAAAAGTAATTACAGTCGGAAACCGTGGATGAGTAAGGGATTACAGAATGCATGTAAAAAGAAGAATGTGTTATATAAGGAATTCATACAGGGCAGATCAAAGAAGGCGGAAGAAAAATATAAGTCGTATAAGAACAAATTAATTGAGATTTTGAGGAGATGTAAGAAACAATATTACTCTAAAGTATTAGAGGATAATAAAAATAACATGAGAGGTACTTGGAGTATATTAAATAAATTGATTAGAAACAGCTCCAGTAAGAGTAATTACCCCCAATACTTTATGGATAATGATACACAGGTCAACAAAATGGAGGATGCAGTCGATAAGTTTAACAGGTTTTTTGTGAATGTTGGTCCTGGTTTAGCAAGAAGCATTTGTATAGATGATACAGCCGTCCCTATAAATAATAATACAATCGAAAGGAACATGAGTTCTATGTTTTTGAAGCCCATAGTTGAAAAGGAAATTATAGAGATAGTGAATAAATGTGATAACAAAACATCTAGTGATAGTGATGGCATCACTATGACAACTGTTAAATGGGTAATTGAGGGGATATGCAAACCATTAACCCATATTTTTAACATGTCGTTTTGACTTGGGCAGTTCCCCATGAATATGAAAATAGCAAAGGTTATTCCACTGTATAAATCTGGTGATAAGCACAACTTCACAAAT